GTTCCATTTTTAAGGGCTCTGCTGAGAGAGCCGCACACAATAGTTTGCCTAGTAACTCAGCCTTAGTACCTCCGGGAGGAAGGGCTGAGTTGCGTTCGACTGCGACGTGCCAGGGCAGCGAGGCTGATAAAACTGAGGCAAACCTTGGGCTACTGGCCAGTTTTGGTGGATGGCAGCTGGACGCTTCATGTTCTAAGAACTTGGGAAGCAGGTGAACCATGTCTGGTCACCAGGAAGGGTTTAGGGCAAATGGGAAACACGTTGTGACACTTGGCTGGAGGGTGACACCCTGGCCCATCTCCCTACTGCTAGAAACCATCCCTGTTACCCTTAGCTATACACTGACCAATCTCTTTCTGCCAGTTCCCAACTCAGCCCATGGCTCAGCGGGGGTTCAGGTTAATGGAATGGGAGTGGGCCTGGACAGAATTGCCAGCAGAGATGGGGTATTGGGTCAGGCATTAAGGCACTTTCAGGCGTTGAGCAGGAGGACAGGCGTATTGAGAGGGTATTGAATCATTGTGGGTGGGGGGGTTATGTCACTTTGGTGTGTGAAGAGAAGGGAGGACAAGTTGGGGGGTAAATTGAAGGCGCAGTATGGATTGTGCTGCTAAAGGTAGCAAGGTGGCTTTCAGGGAGGGCAATGCATGGAGATAGGAAAGAAAATTATAGTGGGGTTGTCAAATTTCAGGGGTCTGGGAAAATCCTGTTCCATGTTAGGGCAATTACTGATTAACAGCATGTACCATGTTTGGCTGCTGAGCTGATCCTGTCTGGCAGAGGCTTGGTTACAGCTGAGGGGGGCAATCACTGCTTTCTTTGAAAGGGAATTTGGCACCAACAAGCATTTGAAGCTCAACATTAGTCCTGGTGAAAAGCGGCAAAATCCTGATGCCTGAAGTCCAGACAGGTACAACATGAGACTTAGCAGTGCAGGCTTCCTTCTAGCCACCATCCCTGGGTGAGGAGATATTCAGTCTCTAGGCCTTCTCAGTTCCCAGCCTTTTCAATGACTCAGCCCTGGACAGGGATGCCAGTTGTGATGGTGTTTTTGGTGACATAGTTTATAAACGCCTAGACTAGGAGAAGCTCTTTAAGCCAGGGACTGTGTTGTCCTATATGTTTGAACAGCATCCCGCATGATGGGGATCTGATCATGACTGAACCCTCTGGGAAATACAAATCAAATATGTATTTCACTAGGAACTGACTGCGACCTCACTTGGGCGCAGTTCACCCTGGCCACCAGACAGTCATACCCCCTGATACTTGACATCAAAATAACTGTCTGTCAGGTGCTAGGTTTGAACTGGAGACCAAAAGATAAAAGGCACAGTATCCCATTACCAGCCCCCAGCCTTTCCTCTTTAAACAGGGTGTCGGTGTCAAAGTTAGTGATTCTTTAAATGCTATTGTTGTTATTCAGCCTGTCTTGCTTGATATGCTCTTAAGTGACAGCTAAGGGCTTGTCTACACTACCGCCTGGGGTTGATCTAAGATATGCAACTTCAGCTATGTGAATAGCGTAGCTGAAGTCGATGTACTTAGATCTACTTACTGCGGTGTCTTCACTGTGGTAAGTCAACAGCTGACACTCTCCCGTCAACTCCACTTGCGCTCCTCGTTCTGGTAGAGTACCGGAGTCGACGGGAAAGCGCTCAGCAGTCGATATATCGCGTCTATACTAGCTGTGATAAATCGTCCCCTGCTGGATTGATCACTGCCCGCCGATCCGGCCAGTAGTGTAGACAAGCCCTTAGAGGTCAAATGTTGTAGAAACTTCATTGAGACCATAATTCAGTTTGTTTTCTTAGTATTCGCTGCTGGCTGATGTGAAATATTCAATTATCACATCACAGCTTTTGCATGGCCCAATGGCCAGTCTAGCTGAGAATGCTAGTTTTTTCCTAGAGGTTCAAATTTATCTGCATGTCTAAGAAATTCATATGGGGCTAGATTCACAAAGGTATTTAGGCTCCTAACTGCCACTTTAGGCACCTAAGTCCAACATATAGCTCCTCAAAAACCCTGCTCACCTGCTGCCTAACCCCATAGGGGCTTAAAATCCTTGGGCAACTAAGTCAACTAAATCTCTACTGATAAAGATCGTCCCCCCTTTCCTCCCCTCCCCCGCAAAATCTGCCAGCGAGCATGTGAACAGCTGTGTCAGTCCTAACGTTCAGAGCCTAGATCACACCTATGGCTATGGCTACACTACAGAGTGTACAGCAGCGCCACGCTACCCATGCAGAGGTGCCATTGTAGCACTTAGTGCAGAGAGCTCTCCCGGCGACTTAATTGTTTTAGTCCCTGTGAGTGGCGGTAGCTATGTCAGCGGGAGAAGCTCTCCCACCAATATAGCGCTGTCTGCATTGGTGTTTAGGTTGGTGTAACTTACATTGCTCGGTGGGGGGGGGAGGGAGGGCTTAGTTACACCCCTGAGTGACATAACGTGCACCAATATAAGTGGGAGTGTAGATATAGCCTTTGCCTTGCTACTGAACATCGTCATAGTGCGCACATGGCCTGTGTGTCAGAAGGAACCTCAAGCTTCACCTGTCTTGCTAACAGAACGGGCCGCA